GGGAGGAGGAGGAGATTTAAGGGGGGTGCTATGAGGAGAGAGACAGGACATTATTGGGACCTGGGACTCTGAAACTTTAATGTGTATCTGCCTGCTTGTGTCTGCACTTCTGAGCCTGGCAGCTCTCTTAATACCTGGCTTTGGAGATGTCAAATCCTTTTTTCATCTCTTTCCCTGTCAGCTTTGTTCACGCTATCTTCAGCCTTCAGCCCATTTTAGGTTCAGATAAATGCAGCCTGTATGTGAGATACAAACACTGCACCAGATCTCCTGCAGCATGATTTCAGTAAGGATTTAAGAAGTGTGTAATGTAATGTAAAAACAATACAGAGCAACATTGCATTTGTGTTGTTTAGGTGCTTTGGAAGGTGTAAATGGGTCTCACCATAAGACAAACAGAGGAATAATAGCAAGTTTTATTCCCATCACTCGAGTAATGATGTGAAAAACAACTCGCCTTGCAATCTGAAGTACAAAGAGAATCAGGTTTGCTCCTGAGCTTGTTGTCAATGTATATTTCAGTAGCAACAGTGAAATGTGGGTAAACTGAGGTTTATCTGGTGAATATTTGATCTGCTCCACGTTAGACTGACAGGCCATGTGCAGGAGCTAAGCTCCACCCATCTGTCCTTGCAGATCAGGGTTAGATGCATATTTTATGTTTGCAATACTTGTGGGTGCACTTGATGTTCCATAACAGAAATGGAACGACAATGAAACTAATGGAAGTGTGTTGGCTGAACCACAGGGAAGTGCGTGCAGAGCAAGCCAAATCCAGCAAACCTGAGATGTTTTTTGCACCTACAGTATATGACTAAGGCGTACCTGTCCTTATGTAAGAATTGGGTTCGCAGCAGGCTTTCACATGGCACTGAAGCTGCTGTCTGTCAGAGGTGCTCCAGCTTGAACTACTCCACAGCTGACATCACAGTCCATCTATTTTTCATAGCCAACATCTGCTTGGCTTGCTACATTGTCACTATGATTTGCATCAGCTCCCCAGATTCCATGTATAAAAACCAACACATGGAAGGTGACTAAAGTAGTGTGCACAAAAGGCTTCAGTCAGTGTGCTTTAGGATGATGTCTTTACAGGCTTTGATATAGCGATAAGAAGTATTTCATCTGCATAAACAAAAAAATATGCTGTTCCTATTCTTACAAGGTGAGTAGAGTTTGCTGCTAAAGGCTGTCAATCAGCAAATGCTATGACTACCTGAAGAGAAAGGTAACACAGGCAGCCAGAACAGGGCAGACACACAGCAGCTAGTTTTCTCAACAAGCAAGTAAAATATCCCATCTATCTCCAGAGAATAGGGCTACTGAGATCTTGGCTACTGTAATTATTGGCGCAACATGAGAATGCAAAAAGAAAAAGGGTTGTCCATATAAATATAACCCCCCCCCCCCCTCCTCCCACCACTTCCCTCCCAAATGCAATCAATTCTTGTTCCAGCATGAAAAGCTATTTTCTTCTCCTCCATGTCATTATGAAAACAAATGCATTCATTTCTCCAGCAGAAATGCAGCTGATGCAGAAAAATGATCCCGAAAAATGACTTACTGACAAGGATCAGTCAATTCCATTTCTTTGTGAGTGTGTGTGTATGCCTGTGTGCATGGGCATGTGTAGCTGTTCGTGAGTGCTGATACAGTATATTGCAAGGTCCACATTAATTTTTCCAAGCTCTCCACGAGGGTATGTGTATTTTTTACTAACATCTCAGGAAGGAGTGGTTGCTTTCACTGTTGCTCAAGATGTGAGCTTTCATATCGGCAATTTTCAGCTTAAACAGACGTTCTGCTTCCTGTAAAGAAAGAAAAAGCATGAACAGAAAGCGCTGTAAGTGGAACCATCTATAGCGCAGTGTCTCAAAGCCATCATGCCCTTGACGTTTGTATATGTCATGTTCTCTCTGCTTGGAATGCAGGAGGGAAAGGGTAAAAGCTATTACAGTATCCACACTTAATTCAAACAACTGTTTAAATGCTTAAGATGTATCTTCTCTTTAAAAGACAGTAAATTCACAGGTGCAGGCCTGAGGCTTATGTGCAAGTGTGTGTGGGCTGCAGCTAGGTGCGTGTAAGCTAGCCTTAAATAAAAGATTAACCTGCATGTCCCTGGCGTGTTATGAGAGCACCAGGCAGAGGTAGTTGTGCAAGCAGGCAGGCAGGCAGGAAGGCGGGCAGGCAGGCAGGCAGGCGTGTGGGGAGCAAGAAAGACACCCAGAGGTAGCTTTAGTACCAGCTGAACTCAGCCAGGGTGACAGACGGAGCTGGAGTGTCTACGCCTGCCCGCACCAACCCAAGCCTCACGCCACGCTGGCGTCATCAGAGCTGACAGGAGCAAGTACACAAGAAGCAGAGAGGACGCTGAGGACCTGTCTGTCTCTCCTGCCTCTGAAAGGCTCATGTGCTCACACCTTGTCAGCAAATGATCACAGGTTAGTCAGGACGCAAACACTGATGGGAAACAGATCGTGAGATGTAAGCAAACAAATAGTGATGAAACCTTGAGTGGATTTGTCTGCATTTGAAATAATAAAGTTGAAACAGAAGTGCCGTAAAACGTGAAATGTAACCACTCTTCGTTGCGGTAAGAACACCACAAAAACAGCTTGAATCAATGAATTCACTGGTGGAAAACTTCAGTCTTGTAGTGATAAAATATTGAAACTATTTTTGTAAAATTCAGTGAATTCATTTATATTCTTAAACTTTGTTCTATACTCTTCATGCTCTTCACACTGCATAATAGAATTTGAAGGCATGAAGGCAGCAGGGTCTCATTACACCCGTCAATATAAATAATGTGTAGCTACAGAACACAAACTGTCCTCCAGACATATCCAAATATTTCATTCAGAAATTTCAACATTGTAAAAAAACAGATTTCACTCTGAGTCTTGACTTAATCAGAAGATTTTAAGAAACAGCAGAAATGGATCCCTGTTACATTGACATGCAGATATTTGTGACAGACAAGAAAGGGTGCATGTATATGTATCAGCCTCAAAACATGGTGTTCTCTTTACTCTTCCCACCACCCTTCTCTTTACCCCTCCCCTTCACAATCCTGGCCTAGTGTGTTAATGATTTGGATGACTGTTAGAGAGTATGAAGCCTCTTGGCATTCCCTGCTTTGTTAGCCTAAAAGTTTGCGCGAGGAAACTGCACCCATGGGAGAGCAAAACAGGTATACACCACAGGGGGAGATGGAGGGAGGGCAGGATTTATTTATAACTTTTTGCGTTGATGCTAAGTCATCAGAGAGACCTTGTAGTGTAGAGCAGAGAACTACCCTAAATGCTTTAGAAGTGAGCGAGCAAACATTTCTACCTCTTTCACAGTCCCCATTTAGGACCCGAGCAGGTTTATAGCAATTCTGTTCGTTTTTCAAGTCTCTCCAAATATCTGCTGTTAGCTTGGTTCCTCACTGCTGCCTGGCAAATCACACTTAAGGGGAAAATCGGGCGGAGAGAGAACATGGTGATGGTGATGATGATAGCATGTGGTATCCCAGTGTTATTTTTGTACACACCATCCTCCATTATCCTCGTGTATCTGACTCTCAGGCTCCATTTTGTGGCCCATTACGGAGGAAGAGGAAGATGGTTCTAAAGAGGAATCATGGAGCTGCAGAAATAAGCTTCAAAGAACGAGAAAGCAGAAGGAGGCAGGAGTAGCTGGGCCAGTGGCCATCACAGGTTTACACTCATTACTATTGGCCTTTTGGTTGTACTTAATCTATTACAGGAAATCTAATTCTGCGATTCTATATCTGTGTATGTGTGTGTTTACTCCTCTTGTCTTGGTCGCCTGCCTGCTATCCGAGAAAGGCTTGGTGATCTCGACTGCCTGCCTGCCTGCCTGGTGCTCTTTAATGAGATTATCAGGAGAAGAGTGTCAGTAAGTAGGATCTAAAATGAAAGCCATTATGGAGCATTATCACAGAGCTACACCACCCCAACCCCCCCCCCGATCCATCTGCTGTATGGCCACCCACACAGCCACTACGCCCAGATTACAGCCACGATTAGCACCGCAAAGTGCTGCTTAATTTAAACACCTCTGGAGAACATGTGGCACTTTGCTGCATTGCTGAGTCGCAGCGCTTGAACACACACAGAGGGCAGAGATGGATTTCTCCTTGTGGAAGACGACGCACGCAGTGTTTCCACTGAAACACTTGATTCGCTTGGAGTGATGTTGGACCACGGGCTTGTGTAGACGTGTGAAATACTCATGTCATACTGAATTCTTTCCATGTGTGCCTACATTCAACACACACCGTATGGCCAGACTGTTGTGTCTACACCTACCTTTAAGCTTTTAACAGTATGTAAACAGGCACGTAAGCTGTCTGCTTCATCTGTCTGTCTCTCTTATCACCTGTTTTATTATTCTTCCCATTTTACCGTTATTAGATTAAAAAAGAAAATGTGAAAAAAAGATTCTGACAGGCAAGCAAAAGCCTTAAATAAATTAACATTTTGATTACAAACACGCTTCACTTCTGCGGTTTGTTGAGAATGAATAACTACGTGTATAGGTAGAGTATTATGCTTCAAAAGGATGCTGTAGTCAAAAGGGAAGTCCAGTCTTAAAGCCCCAGGATCAAGCCAGTTAAAACTGAGAATAGAAAGCAAGCATCTCAATCCCTTCCTGCTCTATGGGAGCTCAGTATAGTAGCTCACATTCTGCTTTTCCCTTTCTTCTTTTCTTTGGAGGAATTGTCTTTGGGGACGACCAAATCATCACATATTATACTACTGACTTCACTGGTGATTTTCATGTTTTTACCTCAGTGAAAAGCATGCTCCTGTATGGGTTGAGACAATCCTATAAACTCTGAGTTTAGGATATCTTTCAAGACCCGCTGGATACACCTCAAATTATATGGTGGCTGAGGTGGATTATTTTTTCAGTTCATGAAAAGTTGATATCTTGGGAAACAGCAATAATGCACTACAATCATATAAACAGTTTCCATTCTTTACCTGTGATCTTGTCGCGAACAAGCTTGCAGGACTCGATCTCGCCGATGCTACCAAACAGGCTGCGGAACTCCTCCTGGGTCATGTTCTGGGGCAGGTAGTTGACAATGAGGTTGGTCTTGCTGTCGTCGTTTGTCGGGCCAGTCTGCATGGGCGAGGGGCAGCCGCGGCTGTTGGTGGTCGGCCCGTTGGCTGTGGTGCCTCCTCCGCTGGGGCCATTTGTCACTGGAGCCTCCATGTTACTGATGATCTGGAGCAGGGCGAGGAGGAGGAGCAGCAGGAGGAGGAAAGCGGGAGAGGCAAGGAGAGGAACCGTGGAAAGAAAGGGCAGGGAGGAAGAAGAGCAGAGAGCATTCATTAGAAAAGGCTTCTGTACTGTGTTTAGCAATTTGGAATACTGAATATGTAGCAAGGCATACAAGACTCTTCCAAAATTACTTTTCTAAAAAGCATGGATTTTGTTGCATTAAGTCAGATCAACAGTCTGAAGAGGTTCTTTAAAAGCCTGTTTCCAGATACTGAAAAAATACAATTGAAAGGTTTGTTGTGTATATATATACTGATTTGGTATTTTCCATACAATTAATTCTTGACATTCTGAGAGGGATTCAAATGTTATAGCAGCAGAGTAAGAACAATGAAATTTCACATTGTCTCTCTCTGGATGGTATATGATTACGCAAAACATTTTTTCATTGTAGGTTTGGGTGATATGAAAATATATGGTGAGAGACATTGTGTGAAAATTTGTCAACCATCAAGAGTTTTTGCTAGATTTGTCAGATTTTGAGATCTTGGATGTATTAGGTCACTTTTGGCCAATGTTGCAAATCAGTGAGCAGGACTGCTTTACATCAAGGCTGGATTTACCTTGATTTTTCAGGTATTTCAATAATTCTTTATGTTTACGTTATCTTTAATTTTTCTGAATGAATGCAGATACAAATATATTGTGCTGAAATAGCTGAAAAGTATTTTTTTAGGAAGAACAGTGTTCAGTGAAGGAAGGCTTACATCTGTGAACAGTTATGCTGTCATCAAATTATTTAATACGTAGAAAATAAATTATTTCTTTTATCCCAATGTCATTCATCAGCAACATTTAATCAAAAAATTGCTAAAGCCTAATATGGAAAAACAGACTAAACATATAGTGAACACACTGTACACAATACATGCCACATCTCTAAACACTGAGAAATACAAGTAACAGTAGACACACAGAGGGTAAACGGCTAAATGCTGCTGAAGACACTAAATACTTCTGATAGCTGCTGAGGTTTGTGGGAGGGGACAGCAACAGGGGCAGCCCTTCAACTAGCTATCTGATGGCTGATGCTGCTGCTCTGACAGAGAGAAGTTTGCATTTTCATATCTGGTTTTGCAGAGCATCTCAGGATCAAAGTGTTCAAAAAGGAACTGTGAGCTTGCTGTAAGTGAGAGAAAACACAGTAAAAGAAAAAGAAAAAAAAAGGTGAGGAGTGAAAGTCAGAAGTCGGAGGAGGAGGGACGTAGGTTGCACTTTGCTTTTCTACCACAGCACTCTGTTACATATTTAATACAATGCTTATTCAGAGCGAACATTATTCTCCAACAAAAGCACCGTGCGAGGTGAAATTATTCATACATTTGCATAAAAAACATGTGTTTTAGCAAATGAATGGCTTTTGTTGCCTGCTTGTGTGTATGAGGGGGTAAAATGGAAAGAGTAGACACAACTAATCTAATCACTAAATGGTGGAAAAGATAAAAACAGAAGAACGAAGTTGGAGGTGCTGTTATAAAGGCATAGAGAGCATCATGCCTGACTGGCCAGGCGACTGTAAAATGACTGTTGTCATAATGTTTGTTAACATGGTTTATTATGTTGCCCTGATTTTAGATCCCTATTTATACGTCTTAGTGTTAGCACCAGCTGTGTTTCTGATTCTGCATAAACAGCCATGATAAACTATAGCAAGTCCCTGGCAAAATGTCTGTCCATGTCCATGCCCGTTTGAGCAGCTCCCATGATGTTGCTGTACGAGCACTGTAATGATCTAACATGCTGAAATCCAAATTAAGATGCAAATATACTTTCATCTGATTCAATCAAATTTTTAAAGTCATCACTCAGATCTCTCCCTTTCCCCCTGTTCAACCATTCAGCTCTTTCGGTCTATTTTTAACTATTCTAAAGTACACGCAGACAGGCTGCACTTGGAAGCAGGGCTGGTTTTAGCAAAGGAGAAAGCGGCACATGAGTCGTGTTTCACTCTATTTCTGGATTATCAAAAGACTGGACCTGTGTTCTAATAATATATCTCAAAGCAGAATTTAAAAATTTCCCAGTTTGTCCAGAAATAGTTTTCAAAACCATTTTAGACGTTTACAATGTGTGTACTTCTTGGCTTTAATCACTTCACTTTTATCTGTTACCTACGTGAAGTGATAAATGAAACAGAATTCAAAGAGATACTGCCAAACAACTACTACAAATGTGGTAATACTTAGATGAATATGGTAATATTTAATAAAATCATAATGTGTAATGTGTATAATTATTCACAATAGTAACTATTATTCAGGGTTAAAGATTACTGATATCTACATGAAATCAGTGTGATGCTGCACAATTTATTTCCACACAGTGAGATGTCTGTGAATGTTCTCATTCGTCCAGGTCATAGTAATCTCTCTCTTAAATTAAATCGAAGGCAACTGGACTTGTATTTGTCTGTGGAAGACGTTTCGCCTCTTATCCAAGCGGCTTCATCAGTGGTCTTCATCACTGATGAAGCCGCTTGGATAAGAGGCGAAACGTCTTCCACAGACAAATACAAGTCCAGTTGCCTTCGATTTAATTTAAGAGAGACACACAGTGAGATTGGTTAGAGAACTATTCTATTACTAAATTGTTAAGTTTACCTCTTAGTTAACCTCTGCCCTCAGAAGACCTTTAAAATGAGGCTGTATTTCTTATTATTCAGTGTTCTTCTTTTCCTCCATCTATTTGTTTAGGAGCAGCACCAACAAAATGTCTTGAATCGGCTTCCATCCTCTCATTTTACACACACACGCACACACACACGCACACGCACTTCCATGCAATCACACTGTGAAATTTGTAGTGAGTGTAAGAGCACATACTCACACACACACACACACAGAGAACAATGGGCCAATCCTACAGCAGAAAACAAACAGACAGGGAGATGTCTAAAAGCTCTCAAGATGAGAGCTGCATGCAAATTGTTCTTTTGACAGTATCCTTCCCTAATCACTCACCACTACCACAACATAGACACAGAGACAAACCGAGAAAGACAGAGGGGCAGCGAGAGAAAGAGAGAGCCGAGTGAAATGAGAGAATAGTATCTAGCCATAACAGAGTTGATTGGAGAGGGCCTTATTAAATCTGTTTACATTCCCTGCTGGGCTCCATTCTGTCAGAGAGACTTTCAACTCCATGGGACGTTTTCTGAGGAGTTTTTACACCAAAATGGCTGCCTCTAATTAACAGGGACCTGCCGAGTCCCGGTGGCCAATTATATTCCTCTCCTTGTCCGTGCCCACCAGCACTTGAGCTGCTCAGCAGTCCACTTCATGTTGGTTGTGAGCACTCTAGCTGTCCCTGCTCTCCCACTGTGGAGCCTAGTGCTGTGGACAGAACTCACTGCATGTCCTGCTGACTGGGTACAACACACAGCCCTCGCTGGCTCCCAGCCTCAAGATGCAGCTTCTTCTACTTACAAGTTAAAATGCTACTTGTGTAGGATGCAGCGCCAACGCTGGGCTTCTAGCTAAGAGTAATACATGTAGACCGTGTGCAGTTGTGGGGAAAGTTAGGATACAAATGTGTGAGAGGGTGTTTAATAGAATTCAGACTAAATGGTTGCTGTTATAAGCTGAAAGACACTCAGAGGTCATTCTTGAAAGTGGCATCTTAAGAATGATGAATCAATTTGGCCTGAGTCAAAAAAAAAAAATGCTGAAGCTAGAGTTGCTACAAAGCAAAGTCGATGGGAGAAACCTATTACTTCAAAAATTTTAGAGGGTACTTGAGTGCTCCATAAGGTAGAGAAAGAGAAATTAGAAGCAGGAAAGCAGTGAGCAACTTGAGTCTGGCTGTGCCTGCAGGGAGGTCGAGGTCCATTAGAAATGCCCACAGCTGCTTAATGAAGGCTAAATGGCATGATTGATTTATAACGGATGTATTTTAAATACTAAAACATCAATACATACATATAAAATGAGAAAATACTAAACAGAAGAGTGCAACATTATTTATTGACTTCCTCAAAAGCATATACAAAGGTTGAACATATCAGCAGCTGAATATTGCTCATCTCCGCACAACTTCCTCTACCTTTGCAACCCCAGTCCCCCCTCCTCCCCTCCGTCTATTGCCCCATCCATGATTCTCTGCTCCAGTTCCAACTGTCTCAGTCAGCAGCATCACCACCAGTGCTTATTTATGTAAACACAGTACAATATCAGATCATATTACTTCATGGGTGTGTAAAATGGCTGGGCCATCCATTTGGCAGCAGTAGTCTCCTTACCATCTTTGGCTGTGTCAGCAATCCCTTCTCTGCCCAGCCCTGGAGCTGTGGGAGCTCTGCCTGACGCCACTGTGTCTCTGTCGACCCCTATGGAGCGGAGCACAGGGAGGGAGGGACGCACATCCCACCGTCAACATCATACACTCACTTTGCAAGGTTAGGGTTGTAGTGGGATTTAGGGAGTGGAAGGGGGGAGTTGGGGAAAATGGCGGCTCACTAGAAAAATACAGTTACACCTTTACAGTCATTCCACCAGTCAAACTAAAACAAAGACAGGTGGCTCAGGAATTCTTTGTTTCTGGAAATTATGACTGGTTGACATGATTGGTTTGTCATTGAGAACAAAAATAAATTGGGATGGTTAAGCTTTGGAAAACTGTGTGGCTCAAATTGTCAGAATATTTCTCCTTGAAACGGCTTAAAGACAGAAATTGGGGTAAAGATATTATTTCTTCAGTTTTTTTTTCCAGTCTATTTTAATATCTGAGTACCTTCATAGCGGATTGAATAAAAATGCATGTGTGTGTTGAAAGCAACAGATTGGTGTGGTGACTGCAATGACCTTGGCAGAGTTTATAATGAGGGTTTCCCTCTTGCTCTCTGTGGGTAAACAAGCCTGTGGTTGAAGAGACAGAAATGCCACAAATGAGCAGGAAGTCTGTTCACTAGCTCTCCAGCGCAGGGGGCTTATATGCCTACAGCTATCCACGGATACTACAAGCAGCCAATTTAGCAGGAGAGGAGGAAGAGAGGAGGGATGACCTCTGCCTTCATTTACTCCTTCAGAGAGATGAAGAGAGGGAGTGAGGGATCAGATGGGAGGAGGGAGAAAAGGCAAGGGCTGAGTAATGGGGAAGACACTTCCAATACTTCAAAGAAAAGGAGAGACAGAGGTGGGGGAGGAAAGAGAGTCTGTACATGTTCTGTTGTCAATGTGTCTTGTAAACTTAGGCAGGAATGCATAATGGAGGTCTAAATGAGAGTGAACTGTCAGCTTGAAAGGGAAAAAGAAGATACAGGGGGGCAGAGAGGTCATGGTAGAAAAGATGAGGAAGGATGAGGAATATTGTTTGTACTCGGTGGAAGGTAATAGTGGATATTTTTGGGACGATCATATAGAAATAGGAAGTTGAGAGCCACCTTTGTTTTAGTCTGGTGTAGACAAAAGGGTTACTGTTGAATAATGGTTGTGTAAAATATGAAAACACTCTCTATTGTGTAAATCTAACTGGGACAAATTGGTGAGAAGCATTTACATTTTTTTTTTTGTTTAAATTTTATATCTACTGCATATTAACATTTTCAAGGTTTTAGCTGTGATAGGTCAACCTCATGTAAATGTGCCAAAGCTAGTGAGGTGTATTTATAACCATTTGAAAAAGCCAAGAGTGGACAGTGCCAGGGATAGCTACACCCCCAGGGCTAAGGTGCCCATGCTAGTTACAGTTTAAAGCCACCACATACAGTATAGTGAACCAACATTTATCTCATCAAGAGGGTAGAGGACAACATAGTGTATAGCCTGCATGTTAAAATGACTTTTCCAATCCATTAAATATAAAGTTGAAAAGCTACCCTGAAAAAAGGAAATGTTAGGCAGAGGTGAAACATCAAAAGCATTTTTCACCCATCCGGCAAAGCCATCATTTTACATACTATGTCGGTGCGGAAGTGGATGGTGTGCCGCAGCAAGCAGACAGGGCAGTGTTATTGTAGCAAATGTGGTGATAGAAATGTAAGAAGCAGCAAGCAGATGTATATGAGTCTCCATTTCAACAGCTAGTGTATAGTGCAAATGTCGGCAGAAAGGAATATTACATTTCTTAGAAGTGCGTTTAAGCTTCTGCATCCCATTTTCAAAACACTACTCAGTGCTCAATATTCAATGCTCAACCATTCGATAAAACAAACAGTCTCAGGCGCAACACACACACACACACGCATGCACGCACACACAATTTCATCTTTCTTCATATTCTCGCTGTCCTTGCAGTTATCACATGAACACACACATGTGCGTCTTCTGATAAAATCTCAAATAACACTGGAATAAGGGTGCAATGCAATTACATTCACCAACCATTGAGATGAAAAACCGCTCATGGATACATTTTCAATTATTCAGGGAATACATTTCAGTTGGTGCTCAGATGCTGGGAAAACGTATTATATAATCAATACACTCTATAACGCCATTAATATTTGATGCCACAAAAGTGCTTCCTGTCTCCTTGAGCTCTGGGCCAGTGGTGTCTGGGTACTGCAGTCAAATAGGACGAGCCTTATCCGCCTACAGCAAGGAAGGGGAGTGTACATTTGTTTTCCTCAAACAGTTGAAAAAACCAAAGGCGCAGACAGCTTTCTTTTAGATTTACTGTACATGATTCCATTTTATGAGGCGTTTTTCCAGACTTTGCACAAAGACTATCCGTCTCTCCGTCTTCCCAGCCCAAGCCACTTACGGTACGAGCTGAAATTTAGATGACCAATGAGGTTTTGTCTTCCTCTCCTGTCCTTTTCACCTTAGTCACTCCTCTGCTGCTTTTACACCATAAAACCACCACTTTTTATTGCTGTCCTGGCGCAAGTTTCCCTCCCCCTTCTCTTACAGAGCTTAGACAATCAATTTACCCTGACTTGGTCAGGATAGATGGAGGCTGAAGAGACTGCGGAGTAGACAGTATGCTGCAGGATCTCTCCACTGATAGACACACTGCCTGGCAGCTACAAAATGGAGACAGCATGCAACCATCTGACTTGTTAGACTTCGCCTCACCATCTTGCTCTCTTGATATTATTTGTGATTTCCTTATGTACTATACATCTTTCTTTCTTTTTTAAACATGATTTCGCTTGTTTAAATGATTAACTAAAATTACATAAAATAATTTGACAGAAAACATTTCCTGTTTCTAATTTATTGTCAGACGCAGATACCTTAAATATATTGACAATTTGTGCCATATGTCCCCTTCTTGCTACCACAAAGTGACCACACCAGAAACTATTAAACACAGAAACACAGACTAAAACTCCCCCAGTCCTCCACAGTGATACTGAATTGGAGTTCCTATCAAACTGACTGAGACACACAGAGATTAATACGACTTTACTATCTCAGCTTCTCGGCCAGTCAAGTTCCCTGTAATGCTCTCTGCGCTATTGATTTTTATTTTTCTCTCTCCTCTCCCTTTATTCCTGGCCGTCTCTCTCTCGCCATCTCTCCACCTCCAACAGCATCTTCCGAGCTCTGAAATGTCCTGCAGGTCAGACGGATGCTGGGCCGGATCAATCAGGGAAAGTAATCTGGGACGCCTCATGCACGCAAGCACACACACACAGACACATCACAGATACTCACCAACACACACACACACACACACACACACACACACACACACACACACACACACACACACACACACACCCCTCCTCTGTTGCACTCTGGCCTGCCTGCCTCCAGTCTCATCGATCTGCATCTACTTTACCAAATGGATTCTTCTCTTCTTCTATCCTCCTCCACCTCTTTTCTCTCTGCGTGACTCGGAATAATAAATGTTCCAGACGGGGCAAGACGTGTATGTAAGCAATTTTTCATTTAACTTTGGCTTGACTTTTTTTCCCTTCTCTTCTTTCGCTTTTGTGATGTTTCAGTCTTCAGTGAGATCGATGCAGCTTTCCCACACACTTCCTTGTGGCCCTTGGCTAATCGGCATACACTTGTGTGAGGTCAGAGGTCCGGAGATGACAGGATACGGCCAACTGCCGTAGGGTATATCAGACAAAATCTATATAATAATATCAAGATTTATATTTCAGACAATTAAAGGATGAGTTTGTTCTTATTTTCAAATATTAAACCACTGATGTTTAGTTTCACTTGTTTCTGAAGGTTGTGGAGTCTGACACAACAAAGGCTTTGCCAAATTTTGCAGTTAAATGTTCACAACTGACGTGATGTAACTTGTTCTACTTTATTCCGATTTGGCTTAATTATTATTTCTCTGAAAACTTGTCCCTAAAACTACTTCATGCTGCATTGCTGCATCATTCAAGGACAATGACACTGAGGACCTGCAGTGCTCCGCACATACATAGTCACTTTCTCTCTCACACAGGCAGACAAAATACACACAGACAGACACACACACCACAGTCTCCTTTGCTCAGCCAAACTGTAGGCGGAACTGGAGCCATTTGTCCACTGGCTGAATCCCAACTCTGCACCAACGCATGCAGAAAATTGGTGAGCATCTTGACTCTGGAGATGACACTTCAATTTGTGCAGCTCTAGTGACTGGTGCTCTGCAGTTCCTCCCTTGTGGGGGTGTGAGATCAGCTGGACACCTGCCTAGCTGTTTGGCTGAAGCCTGGAGCACGGGGACTAGGCCTTGGAATTGAAGGCCTGGCCTTGCCTGTCAGCCCAAGTCCCTGTCCCTCAGCCCCAGCCCTGGCCTGGCCTCTCAGGTCCTCATCACGGTTCCCCTAGTTTCACTCCTGTGCCAGGAACAGTCCCTGGCTTAATGCCCCTGACCCCTATTTCTCCATCCAATCCTCAGCTGCAAATCAATGCAGTGCCATCATCCCAACAGCAGTCTTCCCTTGAACAGCATCAAATCCCCATCAACAGCATGCCAGCCTTTGTTCCAGTTCTAGCTGCTGCAGCCAGCACCTCAGCCTCCAGCTCAGTCAAATCAGCAAGATGTCTCTGCTGTGCATCGCTGTCTGTCCTGCTGTAATCCCTGGGTGTGATGGATGGGAGTGATCACTGTTGAGGCCCTTAGCTAGGACATTTTGGTGGATTAAAGAGGCTAAATCATCGTCTCATCCCCTACATGGGATCCCATCCTTAATTAAATGTCATTAGTGTGCTTAAAGGTTTTAGCGGAGTTGATATATATCTATCATGTAGGGCCTATTCAGGAAGTATTAGCCATGTTTCTGTGGTTGCTAAGCATGAAAGACACATTGATAATAAGAGTTAAGGGGTAAAAACAAAGGAGAGAAAGAGAGCACACTGTCAGCCTACGGTAGGCCTACATCACGCCTGTTGTTTAACATGACAGAAAAGGTTGATCCTTCCCAAT